AAATAGCTATACTGATTCTAGCCAAATGGTTTTAAATATATAATCGTTCAGGAGAAAAGTAGCATATTATAGCACCACCTTGAGTCATGCAGGTGTGTATTTATGCTCACCTGAGTACAGTAGCATGTGGGATTTCCAAGCAACAATTTTGGCGTTTGAATTGATTTATTTTTACTATTTATGGTTTTTGATTCCAAGACACTTCTAGGTAAAAAAAAACAAACCAATAAAGACAAATTGTTGGCGTTAAAATTACAAGACTATACTAACCTTGGCTCTCGTCACAAATGTCCATGTTGACATTAGCTGCGGTTCCATTACCCTTCAAATTGAGCAAACTGATATTGCTAATAGAAATATGCCAATGGAAATGCATCAATTTCGCAAATCTCCCATATATCGCAAAAAAAAGTATGCTTGCATGAGGTGTTTTTTTAGGCAATTCGAAAAAGGAATATTTAGCAAAACTGCAATGTAAACAGTTTTTCCCATTTACAGGTCACCTGGCATACATAAGTCACATGATCATTCTTTAATGTACGATAACTTCCAATCACCTCATACGTGGCTGCTCTCAAATATAAGAGGCTTTCGTTGCCATTAATGCCAACATCTGTCACAATGACTTATCGCGAGAGGGAAAAAAAAAAAAACCTTTTAGTCACGTAACATTGATTAATGGAAACGCCGTCATTTCGCAATAGCTTTTATCAACATTTATAAAATATTGCAAAATCTCCAAATCTGTTATGGAAACTAACTGATTGATGCCATTACGTTTTAGACCCATCCATGATGTTTGATGTGGCGTACATGAGGAATGAGACCCACATAGCGTCAGAGGATTGCAACACTTGCGCGCCCAGTTCATAGTGCCGCTTGTTTACAAAATGCAAGGAAGATGGCACAGTTTTTGTAATGACATCATCCTTCAAGCTGGTAGCCCCGAGCAGGGTGTACAACTGGAGCAGTCTACGGGGTCCGCCGTGAATGATGTCTACCCCAAAGAGGACACTTTGGGGGAGTCCGGGTATTGATCTAAAACCAAGCTTAAAATAGAGACGGCGGGGAAAGAAGCTCCCAAAACACGCTAAAGCTGGTTTTGAGTCACATGTGTTGGCAGTTTTTGTGATTTCATGGCTTGGTACTTTGAAACCAATTAGTCTCAACTGGTATTTAATTAGTAATTGATCTGCAGCCTATTTTTCACAGTTGAAAACCAGCAGCTCATATACTCCTAGAGGCCTGTGCTAAAAACGTGCCTTTATGTAGAAAGAACTGCCGTTTCCTCAGGCAGTTGAATTTACGGTAATTACCTCAGAATAATGTAATTGCCCACGTATTTAGCAGACGTGAATATGCGACGAACAAAGAGCGAAAGCAGTTTTATGTGGAGTGACTCTGACGGGGCGCCTTCCAGCTGTATTGCACAACCTATAAATCTTCCTGCGACGTTTCTTCCCCCTCTAGAACCAGTTAATTAGAATCTTTTCAATAAATTAACGAACTTGAGGCACCTGGCATTAAGAAATCCAGAGAAATGGAGCTCAAAGCGCTTAGAGCTCCTGGGAAATCGGATTCGTTCGCAACAATTAGTCACCGATTGACACGCCGACCACCAGTCAGACCCACGGCGATGTGACGCACACTGCGTTTGTTAAACATTTTGACCCAGATCCAAAAATAAAAATAAAAAAAGAGCATGGCTCTGTGTATTTGGGTACAAAATAAAACTTTCTGCTTCGACAGAGTATTTCATAATGCATAATTAATCATGCAGCGCTCAATTATTTACCACAATGCGGAGGTTCTGCGTTTTTCCCCAGCGATGAGGGATCAGCTGTATAAACATTTGTCTTGTCTATGGATCCCTGTTTGGCCTCTGCTGACAGTGATTTAATCACCCACTCATCTGAGAGAGAAAGGCCTGGAAGTCAAAGAGATGATAAAATAGCATTTTCCATATCGTGATAACGGAAGTGAGACAGTGTTCAGAGGCCTTTTTTTTCCCCTTGTGAAATCTGTCGCAGTCTTGATATCCTCTTGTGGTGTGTGTTAACTTTATAATTAAAATTACTAATAAAAAAGTTTGTTGGAAAAAGAGGCTTGTGGCTTTTTGATATTGATGACTAAATTGATTAACTGAAATGCTTTGCTAGCAGGTTAAAATGCATTTTCGATATAGTTGTCTTCGTATAGTATATAATCATATAAACTAAACATTTTAACATTTTTAATATATAACTAGTACTTAATATCATTAAGTATAAATGCGTATACACAGAGTTATTTTTATATCACAGTTTTCAATACCATTGCACTCTATCTAGCTATTTGAAATGCAAGAACACATCGTTTGGTTTTGTTGTTGTTGTTTTTTGCTCTTTTTGGGAACAAAAATCATCAATCAATCACTATTACAGTTTTTATTAAGATTTCAAATGAGTTTTTTAAATTTTAGTTAAAGTTTTAGTAAATTTGTTCTGTGTTTGTCAGTTTTATTCTTTTTTGTTTTATTTTTTTATAGTATTTTTTAATAGTTTATTACTTTGTATTTCATTTTAGTTTTAGGTTTGTTTTAGTTATTTTAGTTCATCAAGTTTAAAGGAAAATTAAATAAATAATGAATTTTCTATTATTATTATTATTATATTAACAAACTTGAACTGATATACTCATATACTGATGATACTTTATATATATATATATATATATATATATATATATATATATATAAAGTATATATATGT